GTGACCAAAGTCAGCAACTATAGCCTAGGAACTCAACCCAGGTCCCACTGTGGAAACCATGTCATGGTCATAAAGTTTGTTTATTTGTTTATTTGGTTTGTTGGTTGGCTTCTCATGGCAGGGTTTCTCTGCTTAACAGCTCTAGCTTTTGTGAAACTTGCTGTGTAGCTCAGACTGTTCTCAGACTCACAGTGATCCACCTGCCTCTGCCTCCCGAGTGCTGGGATTAAAGGTGTGTGCCGCCACTGTCTGGAAGTAAGATTTTTAACAGTAATAGAAAAAGGAGGAAAAAGCCATAAATCAAAGTACTTTAAAAATGCCTTGGCTGGGGGCAGCAGGAGCATGGATCTGTGGTGGAAGGGTACTGGCTGCTCTTCCAAAGGACCTGGATTTGGTTCCCAACATCTACATGATGCTTCACAACAATCTAACTTCAGTTCCAGGGTATCCAACGACCTCTTCTGACCACCATCACCCCTCGTGGGTCAGAAGGTTTGCATATGGTACTGATAGAGTCATGCAGGTACACATAAGATAAAGTAAATACATCTAAAATAATACATAGGTGGGGATGGTTGCAGCAAAGCAAGAAAAATTCCAGCTCTCCACAACACCCAGAAGCTCCAATCAGTCAGCCTTGTAAAGGTCGTTAACACAGAGGCAGATTTTTCTCTATATGGGAAATGCACCTATTCACAAATACAAACCAATCTACAGAAGTTTAAGGCAGATCTGAGGTTTCTTTCGAAGAAGCACAGATGTACACCTTCCCTGAACAAGTGAAAGAACACTAAACAGGTCTAAAAACTGAAATATATAACTCTAATAAGATGTCCAAAAAATGTTGAAAAAGCTAGAGTTTTTGTATTGAACCCTCATCTATCTCTAGAGAGCATTAATTTATCTTAAAAATGAAGGCGTTGAAATCTGCAGAGTACTCATAGACGCGTTGCCTCCAGTAAAGACACATGTGGTGATTTCCTCGTATCCGCTCAAGCATCTGTCTCATCATGTTTGGCATGCTTTCCTCACATAGCTGTGATGTGGTGGATATTGCAATTGACGCTAAGGAAAAGAATAAAACATGCTAAACCTCACATGACTGCGTTGTAAAAGTTTGTTCCCGGCTTCTCAGCCCTGAAATAATTATAAAGTAACCATAATATTTGCAATGCTGTTCGGCCAATAGCTTAAGCATATTTCTAGCTAATTTATATCTCAAATTAATGTATCTCCATTAATCTGTGTATCACCATGAGATTGTAGTAAAGTTCAGCATCTGTCTCTGGCAGGGCTACATGGCCTCTTACTGAATCCACCTTCTTTTTCTCAGCATTGAGTTTAGTTTTTCCTGCCTAGTTCTACTCTGCCCCATCCACAGACCAAGGCAGTTTCTTTTGAAAGACTCTGGGCCACCTTAGCAAAACTGCCGCCCCCCTTTGGGAACCAGGATCCTGATAATCACCCACAGGTGCACTGGAGCTTTGGGAAATACCCTGGAATTCTCCATCCTTTTTGTATTTCTTCTTCAATAGACCCAGGCCCTGGAACTGGAGTAAAACGACCTGCAGATGACCTGCAGGTGTTTCTCCTTTTTCAACCAACCCAGCAATCACCATAGCAATGACCCATCATAGTTAGCTGACCATTCAAAAGAGCTAATCACAATAGTTGACAAATGACTTATTCACTCCCCCTTTTGAGTCTGCACTCCCCCTTTTGATTCTACACTCCCTCTTTTGGTTCTGCAGTTTTTAAAAGAAGCTTGTAATAACTTTTCGAGGTCCCTCTCCTCCCGAGACTGGGGGACCTCTGTTGCAGCAGAAATAAAAATTCCTCTTGCTTTTGCATCAACTGTGGTGTGAGAGTGGCCTCTTGGGGCAACTCTTCCTTGGTGATTGGACTTTAGGGCCCAACACTTTATTCACCAATGTTATTCACAGCATACAGAGGGAATCCCACATCATGACTGACTCTGAGTTATAGATATTATCACAAGTCCTGTGACAACCAGTGCTCTACTGTTGAGTGACCAATTCACTCATCCCTGTGCTGATGGTAGGAAAGAATCAGACATTAACTTCCAGAGTCAGACACCACAACAAAAATTACCAAAACCAACCGAGTGGTGGTGGTGCATGCCTTTAATCCCAGCACTCAGGAGACAGAAGCAGGCGTATCTCTGTACATTCAAGGCCAGCCTGTCTACAAGAGCTAGTTCCAGGACAGCTAGCACTGTTACACAGAGAAACTCTGCCTCAAAAAACAAAACAAAAAGAAAGAAAAAAATACCAAAACCAAGATAAAGACAGGTACCCAGGACTGGAGCTGGAGTTCCTAAATCTCGCTGAGGATATTCAGAATGGTATCACCAAAGAGATGGGGGCTGGTCTAAATCTTGAGAATAGTGAGCAAGCCAGGCAGGAAGACTTGACAAGTGACATAGTCTGCTTTCTATTTCTGTGGTAACCACCATGACCAAAAGCAAGTTAAGGAGGAGAAAGTTTGTTTGGCTTACATGTTCTGATCACAGTCCAGCTATGAGGAAAGTCAGGGAACTCAAAGAGGAGCAGAGACAGGGACCATGAATGAATGCTGCTTGCTGGTTTGTGCCCAATGGCTTGCCCCGAGTTTGCTTTCTTTTAGAACTCAGGACCACCTGCCCAGGGTAGCAACACCAACCCACATCAATGATCAATCAAGAAAATACCTCCCAATTTTTACTTTAATTGTCTTTTGCTTATCTATTATGGCTTCCAATTTTGTGTTTTTATAGGGTATGTGTGTCTACATGTGTATGCGTTTCTCAGTGTTTTTTGTGTTTTCATTTGTCTGTTTGCTTTTTTGTTTGTTTATTGGCCTACTTGTTTTTTAAAAACAGAAAGAAGGTCTGGAGTTGGGTGGGTGGGGACGTAGGGAGGGACTGGGAGGAGATGAGGACAGTCTGAGGCAATCCCATGGCTGAGGCCCTCTTCTTCCCAGGTGACTCTAGTTTGTGTTGACAAAAACTAGTCAGCAGTGTTTTTTTTTCACTTTTAGGAATTTATTTTTAATATTTTTAATATTCTCTTAAAATTTCAGGTATGTATATAATATATGTCAATTACATATACTCTCAATCCTCCCATCTAACTCCCCCCACATGCTTTCCAACATACCTTTCCCACGATTGAATCAAATTAGTGCTACCCATGAACAGATGCATGCCCATGAGGCATGGTCAACCTACCTACCAGTAACCACAGTCCTAAACAGCCCAACAGCCATCAACTGTCAGCTGGCAAATAATGCTCATAGATTTATGAAGTACAGCATTATATTTAGATATATGTGGCAAAATAATTGAATTGGGCCAATTCATGCATCTTGTACCTGCTCTCCCACAACACCTTTTCTTTTCATACAAATTTTGGCATCCTCCTTTTTTTCTAGGCTCCAGCAATATTTACTTCACAGGTAGAAGGCTCTCAAATCTATTTTCTGCAAAGAGCTTCATTGTTCATTGTTTTATATAACATTTATTTAAGTTTCATTTATGATGATCTCACCCCAGGAGAAACTATGTGTCAAATGGTATGGGACATTTTTCAGTGGGTTATTATTGTGATTTTCTCCTTAAGGAGAAATTAAAATAAAAATTATATAACCATGTGTGTTAGATATTGAGTGTATTTCAGTTTGAACTGCAATAAATCAGTGGACCCGGCTAGGTACATATTTTTATTTTTATTGTAAGCGGAGGACCCTGTAATCCTATTTTGTTCTTTCTCCAAGCACAATTATTAATGGCTCTCATTTCTACTCTCAGAAAGCTCTTGTTTTGAAAAACAAATTATATGGTCATTCTAATCATTTAACTTTGTCCCTTTATAAAAGCAAAAAGTTTAGAATAATTGGGCCGTATGTCTCAGAGGATGTAAGTCACTGGGAAGTGATTCATTTGTCACAACCTTGGGGAAAATAAACCAATGCAAATCTGGTTCTAATGTGTTGAACAAGAGCAGAAAGGACTGTGTTATGAAAGAGGCAGTGTGAGACCAAATGGGACTGCTGCATTGGATGGCTACATCCATACTTCCTCAGTCTCTTTAGATGACCTTATCCATCCCCAGGGAATGGACCTGCTTTCTGTAGCTTCCACTAGGTCATAGAAGCTTGTCTTCCTTTAGTGTTGGCAACACCAACAGCTGGGACAGGCTGTCTTTTGGTAGACTTTGCAAAGACTCATGGGAAATTAAGTACAGTATTAGCAAACTATATGAGTTTGTCCAGAAACCAGACTTCGATAGCCTTCCTTAAGGATACTCCTCAACATTTTCCCCCATCATATCTAAGAACTTTTCCATTTATATGAAAGAGAAACTTTCCAAGATTTTCTAAATTTGTTTTTTGTTTTTGCTTAATGTTGACATTTCGTGACCTTGACTCGGACTTATCCTGATTTCTTAATTTCAGTACTGTTTTGATGAGAGTGAAGAGAGAAGTGGGAAGGCAATCACACACACACACACACACACACACACACACTCACACACACACACGCACACACATGGAGTTTGGGTCTGCAATGCTAGAAAACAACCTTAGGCTTCTGTATTCTTATTCAACACTAAGAGATCTTAATCTGCCCTGCATGCGGATCCCGTGCCTCTGAGCTCTCACATTTACTAGTGTTAAAGTATTTAGGGAAAGATTAGTAGGAGAAGGAAATATTTTTCATTTACTAATAGTAGTCTTTTTAATACTGTGGAAATATTCTGGTGCATGCAGGCAGAATGGGCAATGTGCTGGCTAGTTTTACCAACTTTACTAAACTAGACACCTGGGAAGACAAAGCCTCTGTTGAGAACTCGATTCCATCAACTTCACATGTGGGCAAGTCTGTGGGGCATTTTCTTGATTGATGATTGCTGTGGAGGGCCCAGTTTAGTTTACTGTGGGTGGTGCTACTTCTGGTGTCTTAGTTTGGGTTTTTATTGCTATGAAGAGACACCGTGTCCATGGCAACTCTTGTAAGTGCAAACATTTAATGGGGGAAACTCACAATTTCAGAGGATCAGCCCAGTATCATGGCGAAGAGCCCTAGATCTCAATGTGTTGGACCCTAAAGCCACTTACATAGGAAAGGGCACCCCAAGAGACCACTCTTACACTGCAGTTGATGCAAAAGCAAAGGGAATTTAATTTGACTGGCACATCAAGGTCCTCAGCCTCAGGAGGAGAAGGATCCCAAAAAGCTATTACAGGCTTCTTTTAAAGAGAAAAACCACAGAATCAAAAGGGGGAGTGCAGAAGTCATTTGTCAACTATTGTGACTAGCTCATTTTAATGGTCAGCTAACTATGATGAGTCATTGCTATGGCGATTGCTGGGTTGGTTGAGCAAGGAGAAACACTGGCAGGTCATCTGCAGGTCATTTTACCCCAGTTCCAGGACCTGGGTCCATTGAAGAAAAAATACAAAGGGGATGGAAAATTTCAGGGGAAAGTACCCAAAGCTCCAGTGTACATGTGGGTGATTATCAGGTTCCTGGTTCCCAGAGGAGGAGGGGTGGTAACGCTGAGCCCCAGGGTCTTTCAGACTCAAAGGCGACAGGAAGTCAACTGACTGTTACACTGAGAGAATTTTGAGAAAAAGAAACTTCAAAGCCCACCCCCACAGTGACACACTTCCTCTAACAGGGCCAAACCTGCTAATAGTGCCACTCCCTTTGGGAGCCATTTTCTTTTAAACCATCACACCTGGGCAGGTAGTTCTAGGTTGTATCAAAATGCAAATTGATAAATTCAAGGGGAATAAGCCAGTACACAGCATTCCTGCTTCAGTTCATGCCTATTGAATTCATGCCCTGTCTTCTCTCAATAAAAAGCGGTGATTCGATCTGTAAGCAAAAGAGACCTCTTCCCCAAATTGGTTTTGGTAGTGGTATTTAATCAAAGAAATAGAAAGGAAACTATGACAGACAATAATATTGTTGGGGGATATTTTCTTGAACTCATGAATCTTCTACCCTTTCTCAAAATATTCCATCTAATCAAGCAGAAGAAGGCCTATATTATGCAGGAACCCTAACCCCAAACATCCCAGGTCATTGGTGACTCTCCCCATGTGAGAATTTTTTTACACTGCACAATTTGATAGAAAACCTAGCATGACCACTCTGCCTCCCTCTCCCACCCATGTGGGTACAAAGGATTACTAAAACCCTTTCTCCCTGGCAATCCCTGTTGATTCCATTAAGAATCTGTGGAGCTTCTATTGTGTTTGTTTGCTCACCAGGACTCATTGCTAGCTCAAAGTGAATACTACTCTCTTGGAAGGGGAGAAAAATTTTCACTGGGCAGTAGTGGCTCATGCCTTTAATCCCTTCTCTCCCCCCCCCCCCCCCCGCTCTTCTTCCCACAACTCCAACCCCTTACCCCCACCTCCATGCTTCCACCTTTTGCCCGGCAATCTTGTCTGCTTCCAATTTTCAAGATGATCCATATATGTTTTTCTTTGGGTTCACCTTGTCATTTGGCTTCTCTAAGCATATAAGTTTGTGAACTATAGGCTTAATGTCCTTTGTTTACGGCTAGAATCCACTAATGAGTGAGTACATACCATATTCATCTTTTTGGGTCTGGGTTACCTCACTCAGGATAGTGTTTTCTATTTCCATCCATTTGCATGCAAAATTCAAAATGTCATTATTTTTTTACCACTGAGTAGTACTCTAATGTGTATATATTCCACACTTTCTTTATCCATTTTTCCATTGAGAGACATGTAGTTTGTTTCCAGGATCTGGCAATTACAAATAATGCTGCTATGAACATAGTTGAACAAATGCTTTTGTAGTATGATTGGGCATCTCTTGGGTATATTCCCAAGAGTGGTATTGCTGGATCCTGAGGTAGATTGATTCCCAATAATACGGATTTCTAGAGATACATTCCAAAGTCAAATTATGCAGTGCTAATGTCATTTGAAATGTACATAAAAAGAATCTTTTGAGAGTAATGTATTCTATCATGTATGTCTACCATTGCACAACAAGAGAGCCATTTCAAATGATTTTATGTTGAATTGTTCAAAGCAGTTCTTTAAAACCTATACCTAGATACATCATTAGCTACCTGAGTACTGAATGGAGAGATGTTTAAGTGGTTTTAATCAAAATCTATTGTTACCTCTGGTTTTAGTTGCATTTCTAGAATATGGAATTTGGCTCAATTTGTATCTCTGGGTGATAAATGTTTTATGAAGAGCAATTAGTCCTTTTAATTTTAAATGTTTTAAAAAATAGTAATAAAAGTTGGCCCACATTTTCAATCCCTGCAGCCTGGAGACAAAGACATGATGATCCCTGTGAGTTTGAAGGTCAACCTTATCTGCATAATGAGTTGAGGTCAGCCAGGGCTGTATAGTGAGATCCTGTCTCAAATAATGAAAAAAAGAAAAATGAATACAAATAATGTAAGGAGACATTTTGTGTAACCTACTGAAACAAGCAAACATTTGCAGTCCCGAGGAAGGCTGATGTAAGGCCGTTAGCATGGCAACATGAGAAAGTCAAGCCACAAGAGGACATGGAGATATGTGTTGATATTTTGTTTGTAATCTAAGAAATAAAGCTTGCCTGGAGGTTAGAGTGCAGGGTTACTGCAAGTTAGCCATAGAGGGCAGACAGTAATGGCGCACACCTTTAATCCCAGCGCTCACAAGACAGGCAGACAGATCTCTGGGAGTTCAAGGTTAATCCGGCCTACTTGAAACAGTGGATTGAGCCAGTCAGTGGATTAACGTTTAATCCTGGTGTTTGAGATTCACACACCCTTACTCCCAGCATTAGGGAGGTGGAGTCAAGAAGGGATTAAAGTTTAAGGCGGGGCAGAGAAAGCTATATAAGCAGGACCTCAAGTGCTATTTGAACATACCATATGAGATTTGGTGGAGACCCAGCTCCGTCTAGGAAGTCTGAGGATCACCCATCTTGGTCTGAGCTTGGATAGAGGTGAGTTTCACTTGGGGCTTACTGGTCTGTTTCTCTGATCTTTAGCGTTAACCCCTGCTTCTGACACTCGGTACTGATTATAAAGAACAGTTAGAATTCGTGCTACAGAGATGGGCAGCTACAATCACGAAGGAACAAAACTTGGTGTGGGAAAATAAGGAAAACTTATGCCTTAGTGCTTTCAAAGCACAAAACTTAGAAACATATATACAGATAGCAATTTGCTAAAAAACGGCAACATGATCTCTCCCCTGGCAAAAGAGGGGCAGAAGGCCTCACAGTCTGCAAGTAAATGACCAGGGCGGAAAATGTACTGTGCTCTGTCAACTATAGTGAATTCTAGATCAGAATCAGGATCAGGACACACAAAAAAAGAGATAGGATTTAGGACCTAAAAAATCATTCAAGGGGATGAGCCCTGGAGCCATAGTGCAGCATACACAACCCTCACACGTGTCCTGTGAGCAAAACAAAGCAGACCCGAAAGAAAAGCGCACACTATTAGTTTTGTATATATGAAGTTCTGGAATGGCACAGTGGCTCTGTGGAAATAAATGTCACCACAGTGCTCATTTAAGAGATCACTCATGACAGGAGAGGAGCATGAACGATTTTAGTAGAGGTCTCACATACTCAGGTAAGAGGATGTGTAAAGTGAAATTTCTAAGTGGACATTCAAAATCTCTGCATTCTATTTGAATAACTTAGACACCATGAACCTAGTGCTGGCTTAAAGAAGGGCTACCCATCCCCCACATCAAAGGAACCCAATGGTCTCTGCTCTGAGCACCTATCTTATGGCTGGTTTACCTGCTCAACTCCAAGCTTAGGTTCCTGTGTGCCTGGGAGGGTCTGAGGGTTGTGTAGAGGCACTCCATAGAGAGAAGGGAGCAGCTGACCTCATTTCTTTTCTTGGGTGGAGTAGCATCTATACTGTTCCTTAAAACAGCGCAATTGTAAACGAGGTGTAAACTGCCTTCACATCTCATTTAGGGAACAGATGAGCCTTGAAATGCTTTTCACAGGCACAAGTGCTGCTGGTGAACGCTTAGCAAGCTGGCACAGTCTCGCGGTACAGTGTTGAGCATTTGCTCCTCTTCCCGTGGGATCCAGGATTATTTCTGTGTTCTGACTGCTGGCCGGGTGGGAGGGAAAGGGGGCAGGGTATGAGTGTGGGAGGAAGGAGGGAGTTGCTTCTCTGGTCCTTAAGACTCCTTCCTTTCTCTGTGTGCTCAACTCCTACACATTTGTCAAAGACCAGCTTAGCTGTCACCTCCCTGTACAGCACTCATGCTCCCTGATTCTCATTCCTTTCTCCTCTAGACAGACACTGCACTTGACTCCTTCCCTCTGTCCTAATTCATCATGGCTGGCTCTATAGAATCCCTGCAGGCTAATTCTTGATCTCCGTAGTGGCTCAATTAATGATGTATAAAGTATGTGTATGTGTGTATTTGTGTGGTATATGCACACATGTGCATGCAGCGTACACACCCATGTACACACATGTAGGAGCTAGAGACAGATGTCAAGTGTCTTCCTACATCCCATCTTATTTTTTGAGACAGGGTCTCTCACTGAACTGGAAGCTTGCTATTAGGGCTAGACTGGTTGACCGTTGAGATTTTGGAATCTGCTTGGAAATGTTTCACAACCCTTGAGTTACAGATATGTGTGTCTATGCTAGGCTTTTGAACGGGTGCTAAGGACAATCTGAGGTCCTCTTGTTTTCACACCAACTATTTTTATACACTGAGCAGTCTCTCCTGCTCCTCAGTAATCTTTAAGGAATGAATGTGAACCGAAGTAGGAGAGATGGGGAGACTACAGCATAAAGATGCCTCTGTAGCAACTAACCCTTCTGCAAACACCTCCCCGGAAATTCAAAAGCTCCACATACTTGAGTCATAAAATGTGGGCATTTGGGACCAAGTGGGGGTGGGGTGAAGCTATGGGCGTGGCTTGGCACGGAGGGCGTGGCCTGGGCCTGGGGTATTCTGGGTGGCCAATGCAGGAAGTTGGCAAATCGGTAGCTGGCAGAGCCAGGGGCACTTGGCCCACAGCCTGCACGCGCCAAAGTGTGGCCTGTACCATTGGCTCCCACAATTCTAAAGTCGAACTCTCTTGTCCCTGCATCTCAACAGGTCAAGGCAGGTGACACAGACACCCCAGACATAACTATAGAACCAGAGAGCCTGGAAAATGAGCACCTTCTACTGACCGCCATTAATTGCATTCGAGGACATCAGTGAAAATAGTAACCTTCTTCGGATTTGAGAGAAGGAGAGAGGCAACCAAGAAGCTCACCCGGAGAAAGAGGTGTTTGCAGAAAAGATGCCACTGTTTGGAGAGCCGTACAAGACTACAAACAGGGATGAGTTGTCGCGTCGGATACAGAACATACTAGGAGACTACGAAGTGATGAAGGAGTTATGGAGATCTATGTCTTGTACTCAGTGTCCAAATGGTTCTGAAGACAGCCAGGGGAAGCCGAAATATCCTTCATTTCATGACAAGGAGAGCCTTGAATCCAACTCCTGTTGCACGCACATCTACCACAAGCTTTTCGGTACTTCTTCTGCCCGTGGATCACCTTTTGTTGGTAACATTAGCCACAGTTCAAAGATGGCACCACCAAGGATGGAGCCAGTGCCAAGTCTCCATGCCAAAAACTATGGTCCACCCGACAAACAGCATCTGACTCGAGATCGCCTCAGTCAGGAGGGGCACTCTTCAAACCACAAAAAGTGTGACCGCAGAGCTGATGGTGACTCAGCTCCGGCTAAAAAACTCTCACCCTTAATCTCCCCTGTGTCCCATTTGTCCCCTGTACATTCCAGACTGCAAAGAACCAGCAAGGTTTACAGCAGCAGTAGCACTAGCAATAAAGGCTACTGTGCAGACACGTCTTCCAAGGACCTGAAGGTGAAGGTTCAAGATAACGAGCCTCCTCTCGCCAGTTCAGTGGTAATTACGAGACTGGGGGTGGCCTCTTCTCAAACGTTTCCACCCCCACCCCTCCCCTCAGAAAGTGTTGCAATGCAGCAGAAGCCCATGACATGTATCTGGCCCACGGAGGGTCAGAATCAGGCTCCCAGTGAGTCCTTGGGCCTGAAGCCACCACTGGAAGACAATGGTCGGCAGAACTTCGAAAAACTGGATGTAAAAGTGCCAGCCAAAGCCAAACTCACCAGACTGAAGATATCTTCACAGTCGGAGTCGGTGGAGCAGTTGTTCTCCAATGAAGTCCGCTGCATTGAGGAGATTCTGAAGGAAATGACCCATTCGTGGCTCCCTCCTCGGACAGCCAAGCATAAACCCAGGACGGCCAAGACCAAGCATACACCCAGTACGGCCAAGTCATCCAGATCTCCTTTCCCTACAAAGGAGCCTCTGCCCAATAGTTCTGCAACCCAAAGCCATAATCAATACGATCCGGCTTCCAAAATTTATCCCAATTCCCAGCAAAAAACATCCACACTCGGTGCGGACCTGCAGCTCAGTGATAGTGAAGAGAGCGACACAGAACAAACTACAGAGAAGCTTCCATCCCTATCTGCACCTTCAAGCGCTGCCCAGATTCTCCCCAAGCCGGATCCCAATTCCCAGCAAGGAACATCCATACTCTGGGAGGACCTGCAGCTCAGTGATAGTGAAGAGAGCGACATTGAACAAACTGCAGAGAAGCTTCCTTCCCTATCTGCACCTTCAAGCGCTGCCCAGATTCTCCCCAAGCCGGATGCCAATTCCCAGCAAGGAACATCCATACTCTGGGAGGACCTGCAGCTCAGTGATAGTGAAGAGAGCGACATTGAACAAGCTGCAGAGAAGCTTCCTTCCCTATCTGCACCTTCAAGCGCTGCCCAGATTCTCCCCAAGCCGGATCCCAATTCTCAGCAAGGAACATCCATACTCTGGGAGGACCTGCAGCTCAGTGATAGTGAAGAGAGCGACATTGAACAAGCTGCAGAGAAGCTTCTTTCCCTATCTGCACCTCCAAGCGCTGCCCAGATTCTCCCCAAGCCTGATCTCAATTCCCAGCAAAAAACATCCATACTCTGGGAGGACCTGCAGCTCAGTGATAGTGAAGAGAGCGACATTGAACAAACTGTAGAGAAGCTTCCTTCCTTTTCTGCACCTCCAAGCGCTCCCCAGATTCTCCCCAAGCCGGATCCCAATTCCCAGCAAGGAACATCCATACTCTGGGAGGACCTGCAGCTCAGTGATAGTGAAGAGAGCGACATTGAACAAGCTGCAGAGAAGCTTCTTTCCCTATCTGCACCTCCAAGCGCTGCCCAGATTCTCCCCAAGCCTGATCCCAATTCCCAGCAAAAAACATCCATACTCTGGGAGGACCTGCAGCTCAGTGATAGTGAAGAGAGCGACATTGAACAAGCTGCAGAGAAGCTTCCTTCCCTATCTGCACCTCCAAGCGCTCCCCAGATTCTCCCCAAGCCGGTGGTGTCAGCATATTCCAGTAGTGCAAAGTCGGAAAATAAGGGTGAAAACTGCAACACTGACCAGCTACACCCTGAGTCCAAAGGCTCTCCCCCCAAGAGTTCCAGCAAAGCTGTCCAAGATCCCACTGAAGGGCCCCAACCTGAGGAGAGGAGCTGCCAGAAATCCCCTGCCCAACAGGAGTCCCCACCTCAGCAAACTATTGAAACCAAACAACCCAGAAAACCTGCCAAGGGCTCTGGCCAGGTGGAAAGTAAACCAGGACCCCTGCCTTCTGTATCAAAAAATCAGACTTCCAAAGACAAACCCGAGATGAAGGCAAAAGGCAGGGAGCCTAAGCCTGAAGCTCCTATGCCCAACCATCAGGCAGCCGAGCCTGCCCCTAAGGAGAAAAGGAAGCACAAGGGTTCCCAGGCTCCCTCAGGCCCTCAGCCTCCAAAGGACAAAGCTCTAAACAGGAACTCTTTCACTCCACCCTACGGTGGTAAGGGCTGCAGTGGTGGCAGCAGTGGCAGGTCTAGCCACTGCCAACAAACTGCAAGTGTCCGGGAAGACGGTCAAAAGAGAGACACCGAATTGCTCTCACTGCTCAGGGACTCTCCACTACCAACGAGTTTGGTAGAGAAGATAAACCTAGATCACCTCACTCGGATTCCCCAGCCCCTGGGGAAGGGTGGCAGCCCTAGGAAAGCAGAAGACAGGCAGCCGCAAGCAGATAAGAAGCAAGACTCTGAAAAGAGAGACTGCAATGGCTCCAGCAGACTGAGCAAGAAGAGAAAGGGCAGCGACTCAGAAAAAGACCATGCCAGCAAGAAAATCAGAAGGGAGAAAGATGTCCAGTCACATTGTACTTCTTCTTCCTCTTCCCATACTGAATCTTCCAAAACAGAGACTTCCAAAATGCCTTCTCTGCCACCTGTGTCAGCCTCTTCCTCCTCCCAGAAGTCAACCAAAACTGCAGGCAAGAAGCCAAAGCCGGATGTAGACACCTGTGGTCAGGACCCTCCCAAAAGTGCAGGCAGTGCCAATGCCAATGACAAGGACTCTTCTGTTCCCAAGCCCAGAAAAGTGCCGAAAGTGCAGGCCAAGGGCTCGGAATACAAAGGGTCTTCTAGAGAAGCCACAAACGCGTTCCTAGTGCCTTCTTCGCCAAAGGGTAACTGTAAACCAGGGAAGCCACAAGTGAAACCTTACATGCAGAAAGCTGACTTTTACATGAAGGAAGCTCAAAGGTTGAAGTGTAAAGCAGCGGCAATGACGAACAAGATCAAAAAGGCCTTCAAATATTTGGAAGCTGTCCTGTCTTTAATTGAGTGTGGGATGGCCATGGAGTCAGAAAGCTCAGTAAAGGCAGCGTACGCTGTCTACTCAGAAACTGCAGACCTCATTAAGTTCACGATGTCATTAAAATCCTTCTCGGATGCCACGGTGCCAGCACAAGAAAAGATATTTGACGTTTTATGTTTACGTTGCCAGTCACTGGTGAACATGGCGATGTTTCGCTGTAAAAAGGACATAGTAATGAAGTATTCTCACTCTCTTGGTGACCACTTCAACAATTCTTCTCTGTGCACAGGTATTCCGTCCTCCCTCTCCCCAGTGCCTTCTCCTGCCAGATCTGTCAGGTCCCAGTCAAGTGCTGGTGGGATGATGGCCACCGTCAGTGTCCCAGTCACCATCCAGAACAAGACCTTTGCCTATTTCACCATCACAAACCACCTCCTTAAAGCCTTGGAACTCTGGGAACAGTCAGAGGCCCTTACAAATGAGAATAAAAAATTCTTTGCTCAGCTCAGCACAAAGGTGCATATCTTGACCCTCAACAGCAGCCTGGTGGACCTGGTGATCTACACAAGGCAAGGTCTGCAGCGGCTGAAACAAACACCCAAAAATCCCTAAAACAGGCTGGGATTACTTGACACTTGAGCTGTCTTTGCGCAATTGGAAACCTTGATCTAGTGTAGACCACTGTCTGATGGCGACGACACACTCAGGAAGTGAAGCACCATGATGGTCAGAATTTTTGCTCACAAGTGCTGTGTGGCTATAGGTCGGATACTTACTGGTTAGCAGAGTGGACGGAGGGAAATGACCTGCCTTTCCTACGTAAGGACGGAAGTGCAATGGAGCCTAGCTAGTGACCTTTCTAGTGACCTTTCTGGTTGTTTTCTGTTTGTTTGAACAATAGGATACAGGTTGCCAATGAAAGGGCAAGAAGCAGTTTCTAGTATCACAGCAGATACCTGTCATCTCAGTAGCCACATGAGTTTACTTCCAGAAGGAACTTTTGTTTTTGTGAATAATAATTTTTGGTGAAGGATTTTATGGATATAAATATATATTTTAAAGAAAACATTGTTTAATAAATTCTAATGACTTTTAATGAAATGAATAAATAAATGAATAAAAACATTGACATATTTGCTGTGGGACAATGGTCTTTTATCCTGTCACTTGTATTATTTTTAATAAAATGCTGATTGGCCAGTAGCCAGGCAGGAAGTATAAGAGGGGTGACCAGGCAGGAAGTAGAGGCAGGGCAACGAGAACAGGAGAATTCCGGGAAGAGGAAAGAGGCAGTCTACAGTCATCATCCAGACACAGAGGAAGTAAGATGTGACTGCCTCACCACAAAGGTACCAAGCCACGTGGCTAACACAGACAAGAATAATGGCCTAATAAAAGCTATAAGAATTAATAAGAAGCCTGAGCTAATAGGCTAACCAGTTTATAATTGATGTAGGCCTCTGTGTATTTATTTGGGACTAAACAGATGTGGGACCTGGTGGGACAGAAACCTCAATCAAGTCAACAGACATTTCAAGCCAGTAATTTTCACTGTAAATTTTATTCCTGCTGACAAGTTTTCATAATGCCAAAAGGTGCTGTGCATGCTAACACAGAAAAGGAGAAAAGTAGTCATCAGTCTTGCCCAATTCTGAACACTACGAGCTGCTCTGGCGCCATAGTGGCATGGTTATTGTGGAACAACCAACCATTTTCTGATTGAATTTAAGTCCTGCTCAACAAGATGAAATCCATATCTGGCACCAGTGTCACACCAAGAACCTGTGTTTAGTCAGGTCATAGACAAAGAATAAGAGATCATGAGATACTTAGCTCTAAATGGGATGTCTCATACCACAATTCCTCCTCCCAAGGCTCTGGAATCATTTTTAAAGAGGGGGTAGATGGATACAAAGAAATAATGTCTTCCTGATACAGCAAGGTAGTTGCAAGTATAAGCCACAGCAAGCCATGTGAAAGAGTTCTTGTAATTGGTTACTGAGTACCTGGAGTCATCCCTGAAAACATTATATACACACAACACTGAGTGGACCCAGCAGGCTGTGTTTATATGTTTGGATATATAATATGCATTAATGTGTAACAAGAATAATTAGAAAAAAGGAGGTCATGAATTTAAGAAGGAGTAATGAAGTGACACTCAGGAGAGATTGAAGGAAAGGAAGATTTTATGATTATGTTTTAATTTAAGAAATAAGAATTAAAAGTGAAAAGAGTGTTGCCCCTAGTAGGTTGACCCCTAGTAAGTTGACTATACTTCAGTGGAAGGTCACACATGCATGCATATACGAGAACCACAAATTGGACCTGGTAGGTAAAGTACAAAGAAGATACAAAGTTGCACCGGTAGGGAAAGGAGGATGGATCTGGGAGGAGTGGGTTGGGCAGTGAATACAATCAAAACACACTGCCCAAATTCTCAAAGAACTAACTTAAAAAAAGATATACAAAGTTTCAAAGGCTCCTAAAGAATTTTTTTAACTGTTTCTGTAATTCCATGTGTCTTCAAGACACACATGTACACAAACCTCCAAAGCAAGCTTCCTGAACAAGATCAGTGTAGAAGTTAGGGAGGTTGATCATTAATAGTCATGTGTTATTCACTTCTATGACAGGAGCTGAGATATTCCACACTGATGATGGCTATGTCTCCATCATGTATACCAAAGTGATGGGTGAGCTCTCCTGGTCTTTGCCCAGTACTAAAGGCCAATGTATTTACAGTCTCTGGATACTGCCTGATGATGGTTGGATATGTCTTTATATATATAACAACTCATATGTTATATGCTTTAAATTAACCAAAGCAAGGAAGAGGCCAAGCTAAAACATAGCAAATCCAGCGTGTTAGCCATGGTGCCCTCAGAAAGTCCCCATGGCTGAGACAGCAGCATTCTGTGGAGATACAAGAGTGAGACTTGTCCCAAACGTGAACATTGAAAAAATGGGACCTACTGAAACTGAGAAGCTTCTGTAAAGCAAAGGACACTGTCACTAAGACAAAAAGGCAACCTACTGACTGGGAGAAGATCTTCACCAACCCCGCAACAGACAAAGGTCTGATCTCCGAAATATATAAAGAACTCAAGAAACTAGACTGTAAAATGCTAATTAACCCAATTAAAAAATGGGGCACTGAGCTGAACAGAGAATTCTCAACAGAAGAAGTTCAAATGGCCAATAGACACTTAAGGTCATGCTCAACCTCCTTAGTGATCAGAGAAATGCAAATGAAAACAACTTTGAGATATCATCTTACACCTGTCAGAATGGCTAAAATCAAAAACACCAATGATAGTTTTGCTGGAGAGGTTGTGGAGGAAAGGGTACCCTCATCCATTGCTGGTGGAATGCAAACTTGTGCAACCACTTTGGCAATCAGTGTGGCGGTTTCTCAGGAAATTCGGGATCAATCTACCACTGGACCCAGCAATACCACTCTTGGGAATATACCCGAGAGATGCCCTATCATATGACAAAAGCATTTGTTCAACTATGTTCATAGCAGCATTATTTATAATAGCCAGAACCTGGAAACAACCTAGATGCCCTTCAATGGAAGAATGGATGTAGAAAGCATGGAATATATACACATTAGTGTACTATTCATCGGTAAAAAAAAAATGACATCTTGAATTTTGCATGCAAGTGGATGGAAATAGAAAACACTATCCTGAGTGAGGTGTCCCAGACCCAAAAAGATGAACATGGGATGTACTCACTCATAATTGGTTTCTAAGTATAAATAAAGGACATTGAGTCTATAATTTGTGATCCTAAAGAAGATAAATAAGAAGGTGAACCGAAAGAAAAACATATAGTTACCCTCCTGGATATGGGAAGTAGACAAGATTGTTGGGCAAAAAATTGGAATCTTGGGGGTGGGGTGGGATGGGGGTAAGGGGAGATGGGGAGAGAAAAGTGAGAAGGGGAGGATGGGGGGAACTTGGGGAAATGGGATGGTTGGGATAAAGGAAGGGTGGATATGGGAGCAGGGAAGCATATATGTTAATCAAGGCAGCCATCTTAGTTTTGGCAAGAGACTTAAACCTAGAGGTGCTCCCAGGTGCCCAGGGCGATGTCCCCAGTTAGTTCCTTGGGCAGCTGAGGATAGGGAACCTGAAATGGCCCTATTCTATAGCCATACTGATGAATATCTTGCCTATCACCATCGAAGATTCATCTGGCGATTGATGGAGATAGAGACAGAGACCCACACTGGAGCACAGGACTGAGCTCCCAAGATCCCAATGAGGAGCAGAAGGAGGGAGAACATGAGCAAGGAAGTCAGGACTGTGAGGGTTCCACCCACCCACTGAGACACTGGGGCTGATCTACTGGGAGCTCACCAACGCCAGCTGGACTGTGACTGAAAAAGTATGGGATAAAACCGGACTCTCTGAACATGGTGGAAAATGAGGGCTGATGAGAAGCCAAGGACAATGGCACTGGGTTTTGATCCTACTTCATGTTCTGGCTTTATGGGAGCCTAGCCAGTTTGGATGCTCACTTTCCTAGACCTGGATGGAGGGGGGAGGACCTTGGACTTTCCACAGGTCAGGGAACCCTGATTGCTCTTCGGACTGGAGAGGGAGGGGAAGAGGAGTGGGGGGAGGGGGACAGGAGTGGGAAGAGTGGGAGAGGCATGGGAGAAGAGGGAGGAAAATGGGAGGCTGGGAGGAGGTGGAAATTTTTTTCAATAAAATATAAATGAAATAAAAAAAAGAAAAACTACTCCAGGTCCCAGACTTCTGTCTCCTTCTTCACTGAGTATGTCTGAATGCAGAACGCAGTTTAAATCTGTCCTGTGACTCACTGCTTGCCTGGTAAGGGTGGATTTTATACAGATGACCCAGTTCAGCTGCACAAAAATAATATAAAATAAAATAAAAATCCAATCCCTAATTGTTTCTAAAAACAGAGTTGAAAATAATCCCACTACTTATCAGTGCAGGCATAGATAAACAGTATTTGCATATGAAATAGACCAACATATCCTAATTAGAGAGATCTTGAGAAGATTGGAAAACAAAAGATGCAGTTTGGAATTTCCAGTTCAACAGCACTTAGGTAAACAGGCATCCAAAGTAGAGGAGAATGTGAATGAGTAGGCAAAGAAAATATGAGAGAAAGAACAGGCAAGGTACTTCAGCTGCCAGAACGCTTGCCTAGAGTGCACACAGCCCTGGGTGTGATCCCAGCCCTGTCTCCACCAGGCACTATGACCTCAGCGGAGGTGGAAGTAGGAGGCTCAGGAAATCGTGGTCCTCGCCATCTATACAGCAAGTCTGAGGCCAGCCCGGGCTACATTTTATATAAACTATTAAATATGAAAGCACCTTATAAAAACTTATAAAACAAACCATGTAGGCAGAGGCAGGTGGATCTCTGCGAGTTCAAGACCAACCTGGTCTACAAGAGCTAGTTCCAGGACAGGCTCCAAAGCTACAGAGAAACCCCGTCTCAAAAAGCAAACAAACAAACAAAAGAAACCAAAAAAAATGTATAAATTGATAACTGTGGGATCAGCAATAAAGGGCAGAGAAAAAGAGACGTTTCTAGGTAGTCAAGGTTTCATTTCAAGAGAAAGT